GCTTACGCTTATTTCTGCCGCCGTTTCTGTCCCCAGCGTTTCTAAGCCAAATTTTTATTATATCCTCAATTTGCTTTGATGATGCATTGCGTGCAAATGGATTTTTTCTGACAGCAACTTCAAAACACATGCCAACAAAAAATAAATTCCCTTAAAAGCAGTACTCACGAGTTATCATTTTCACAACATTTGTTAATTCGGAGAAGTTATATTTCTTATTTTTTCCTGACCAATTATAGGACAGCGAAAGAGAATGGGATATAATTTTGGTCATGATTCTATATACTGTCTCTGATGCATCTTTCCCCCCAATTACTTGAAATGCTGAAACCTGTATATCTTGTTCATTTATAAAACTGTTGATATTCAAAAAAATACCAACCACATTCGACATTTTCTCGATGTTCCCCAACTCTTTATTAAAGTTTTGAAGCTCCTCTCTTGTGTTGTAACATTCGATTTCTGCATTAATAATTTCAATCTCTTTACTATTCTTACAATAATTAACATTAATATTTATTAGATGTTTCATATCGTCTTTTATAGTCTGTAATGATGTGAGAATGGTCTTCATATAAGCAGTAATAATGATAAATATATTTAATAGAGCCCCGTCATATTTACATTAATAACCCACCTTCATTTTGTTTGCATTGATTACAATCACGTGGAGAAGTAGTTCTAGTAATAGTACCAGCACTACTAGAACCACAACTGGGTACAAGTGTTAGTGTGCTTGCCAAACTAATTTCATCAGATCTGTCTACTATACGGAAATTTTCATTTTCGCCTCTGTGGTTTTACCTGAAGACACTAATTTTTTTTTACTGGAGGTGGCTTCGCTATTAAATCGTCATCTGAATCATAATTTATATTTTCGTAGTCTTCGTAAATTTTATTAGGCCGTTTGATCCTTTTCGTTCTTTGCGAAGTGACGACGTCGTTCTCAATTTCATCTTCTGTTTGTGAAACAAAAGACTGCGTTTCTAAATGGTCGAGTTTTTTAACAGCTTTTTGATAATTATCTAAAAAATTAGAAGAAAATCGAAGAATTTTTGACAAAACACTTCAAGGCATTACCTGTTGTATATAAAATATTTGCTCTACACTGGCCACACTTTTCGACTATTAATCTAGTATGATTTATGGTGGCCTTAATCCTATCACATTCGGATTTGAAGTATCCTGGCCATAAACAATAAACGGGATTTTCCGTTGGATTCATAATCCATGTTGATGATATAATTGCTTCCGGGGTAACACCTTCTTCAGTTTCGTCTGCAAACTCGACAACAACGTAATATTTGTGCCTAAAAGATTGAAAATAATAAATATCAGTAGGTAAGTTACTTTCAAAGATAAATTTCTTACCATATTTATAATTATGTAATGCTACTCAAAAACATAATTTTTAGATGGAAATAAGATTTAAAAATTGATAAAATTGATCTTAACACATTTTCACATTATATTAAATGCAAAAATGGAATACAAACAAAATTTTGATCTAATGGAATTAAAAGAGTTTTATACAAAATCTGATTAACGGCATGGTATAAAAACGGAGCATCTTCATCAAGACAAACTTCATACATATGTAAAAATGAACTGTCAGTGGGGTAATTCGTAAAAGGTTTAATGATCGACAAAGATTTTCCAATAATTTCAATATAATCATGTCGCTTGCGAATGTAATATATCTTGAGAATCGTATTATCTTTTAGAAATACACATGAGTCAGATTTTCTTGTCGTCAAAGTGTACTCTTTATAAAACAAACTTTTATAAAATTTATCTTCGGGTTGAATAGTTACATTTACATCAAAAAATGATGAAATAGATTTTCCACTAACAAAAACCAATCCAATATTGGATTCACTTTGCACGCATTTCCTAACAGATTTCTCACTTAATCTGTGCACTATTTGTTGCAGAGATAAGTTGGGCTTTTTTAACCTTCTTTTAAGGTATCCTAAATGATTTTCAAAAGGAAAACAATTTATACTGTTTAAATCACCAAACATTTTTGCATCATCGGCTAAATGTATTAATGCATGAGTATTATAAACACAAAAATCTTGTCCGTATATCTCAATCGAATTTCGTACAAATACTTTTAATAAATTGTGAGCATATTCATTGAACTCCTTATTTAAAGATGGACTAAGAAGTATTGACACAGCAAATTTTAATAGCATAAAATTACAGTACATATATTTTGGTAAAACATCTTTCAGTACCACAGGGCCAATATATAATAAGAACTGCCGAAATTCTGTTGCTTTCCACAATTCGGCTTTTGAAATCGATCTTGACTTTCGACTCAACATTTCTCTTGGCCAATAGCTTCTTGCTAAATTCATTCTTTCATCTAAGATAGCTTTTTGTGTATTTTTTATATGTTGTTTTCCATCACGCCATTCAAAAATTAATTTTCTCTTTACCCCCAAACAAACGCAATGCATATAATCTATTGGGAATGAAGTAACAAGCCCTATATTTAGCAATGACAGTGGCGTGTCTCCTTTGTGATGTTCAGAATTTTCTTTTGTTGCAAACATTTCATCACTTCTGATCGGGCATTAAGATCTAAATATCTCATTCTTCTGTTGCTATAGTCTCCTTTAACGCAACATCTATCACAACCGTAAAAACCGTTATGACCCTTTACATTTTTAATAAATGCTGGAGCTGGTGCATCGCAGCAAAAAGGTCGAACTTTTATTTTTAGATAAATGCCTTCATCTTCCAGGTAAATGCCATCGTGTGAGCACTTCATAAGCTCAGTAACAAAATCTTTTAGAAACTGCTCCAAAGGTGGTTTACTGTCACCACAGAAAATTGCAACTACAAAAGGGGGTTCATTTTTAAAATTATTTATTTTACCTAAAATTGGCCAAAAGCAAGATTTTGTAGACTTGTGTAGCGGAAGTCTATCAATATTAAAATCAATTTCTACTATTATATCTTTCATCATATTTTTTAATAATTCTTACAATCTCGTTCTCTAACCCAAAATTATAAAATTGTCCACTACCCATTGTAGTTAATGTAACATTTCGTGGGGTTTTTAATAGTGTTCTGGCATCTTTAGGCAAATTGGATATATTGGGATTTAAGGCAAGCCATTTTAGTAAATCAGTTAAGGCAGCTTGTGTAACATTATGTTTAAAATACCAATCAATTAAAAAAGATTCTGACGTTTGTTTGGAGTTATCATCAGATACTTCTGCATCCGAATCATCCGATTCTGTTGATGACGAACTCACTATTTTAATGTTAGGACAGTGGTTAGGGCTAGTTCCCTTTGTCAAAATCTCAGACACAACAAAATTTCGTGTAAATTCATTTCCATCTTGATTTTCACTAACAGGAACTTTTTCGGAAAGATGTGATGACGATGAGACTGACGATGATGCTTTCACTGCTTTATTATTTAATTCTATTTCTCTCTGAGTCAAGTCTAGCGTATCTTCTACACTTTTTTTTACTTGTCTGTACCGATAACTTTTGCTAACTCGTTTGAAAACGGACATTTTTCTTGTAATTTTTAAGAAAACGATTAGAATAAACGAATGAAAATGACTAAAATGGGCGCGAGAAAAGCAAATATAACGTAACATAACCTCAAACAACAAGGCAGTATCAATCGCAGATCGAAAAACATGCAAATGTTTAATCACTTACCCTTGCGAAGATGTCATCGTATTGATTGAGTTTTTAAAGCTCACTATCACTATTATTATTACTTTACGAAAGACAACCAACAAAATAATTAAGTAAATTAATAATAATGTAATGGCGCGATGGTGGTAGGCGCAGGCGGGAACAAAATAATGACGGCGCCGAAAACGTAACTCCCAAGAGATTCGGGTTTCGAACTAACCAATCAGCACCTTGTAAAAAAAACAGCGGTTTCTTTAAAAATTGAATAAAAAAGAATGCAACAATTTTTGTTGCAAACGTAAAGTTGTTATACGACACTATATGAAATATGCATTGAAAAATATGTATAATAAGAATTTAATTAATAAAAGTTATTACATAAAAGTACCTATGTCAAAGTTTTGTTGTAACAATGTTACAATGTTAAGAAAACTGGTTACTTGTTGAATAATGTACTCTAGATTAGACAAATTTGAAAACTTTTATTTGTTTTATAAAATACAACGGTTCATAAACCGTGTTTGCTGAGCCGACATTGTACCAACACTGGCCCAAGGACCAGAAACTTCCAGCGATAGCCCATAGCAGGGTTGTTACCACTAAGTTTTTTCCCGAAAATCGTGCACTTTAAATGCACCGGTACTCCAATGGCAAATGTTGCCAACGTACTACCAACAGTGCCAGCAGTCAACCTAATGCTGGCCAGAATGCTTGTGTTTACTGGGGCGACAATAAGCATAGATCTCGTTGTAGATTATAAATATCTTGAGAATTTCTTATCACTTTATTAATCTATAAATCGTCAGCGAATAACTCTAAGTTGCTTGTAAAATTTTCGCATATGTCATTAATAAAAATGGAAAAAAGGAGAGGACCTAATATGGAGCCCTGGGGAACCCTAGAGGGTAGATGCTGTTTATCTGAAAAATAATTGTGCAACTTAACGATTTGAGTTCTATGAAGCAAATAACTGCGAAACCAATTTAACATACTGCTTGACATCCTGTAAGCAGATAATTTAGTTAATAGAATATGGTGATTAATTTTGTCAAATGCCTTGGTGAAATCTGTGTAAACAGCATGAACCTCTAGGCTTTCACTCGCAGCATTAACAATGTCAGTAGTAAAACTTAAAAGATTTGTCACAGTTGACCGATTACGAAAAAAAACATGTTTAGGTGAGATAATGCTTTTAAAATTTGAAAACATGTTGTTGTAAACTATGGACTCGTAAACTTTTGAAGGAGTAGATAAGATTGAAACTGGTCGGAAATTCTCCATTTTTGTTTTACTACTTGATTTAGAGACAGGGACGACATGTGCTTCGTTCCAAACAGATGGAAAAATTCCGGATTTTAATGACAAATTGAAAATTAATTGGAGGGGAAGTGCCAGTGCTTGACTACATTCTTTGTAAAATTTAGGAGAAATACCATCAGGACCTGCTCCTTTACTGACGTCTAGATTATTTAAAACTTGGTAAACATCAGATACATGGACATTTCACATTAACACATGACTCATAAGAAACATTAAAATTTGTATTGTGATTTTTAACAAACACAGAAGAGAAATAATTACTAAAAGCTTGACAAATCTCCTGATGCGTTGAAAATAAATCTTCACCATACTTCATTGGAAAAGCAATTTGATTGTTATTTGTTTTTTTGCGGATAAATTTCCAAATATTACTTGGAGCGTGAATTAAATCACTATCAACATTTTGAATGTAGTTAGTGTATGCACTTTTGATATCAATTTTGCATAATTTGGAATCCTTATATTTTTTATGAGCAGCGTTTTTATCTTTCACAAGATTTATAAAACTAGACAGGATAAGTTAAAGTTTTTTTTTTCTTTTAAATTATGAATCACAGAATTATTGTAGATATCACAGACTATATCACATTCAATAACAAAAGGAGGATAATTCACATCTATCACAGACAAGGCAATATCACATATAGATAGATTCATATTATCATAGTTTGAGAAACAAAGGTCTAATACATTATCATTTACATTCCTTATGTTACTAAACTGATTTAATGAACATGATGATAATCCATCAACAACAATTTCTACATTTTTGTTGACCGACAATAGAGGCACAAATCCCGGTAAATCGTTAACTGATTGGCAAACGATATTGGGCAAGTTATAATCACCTAGTACTTTTACATCCGCATTGGTAAAGCGATTACAGATACTTGTCACAGATTCAACATGACCAGTATTTTATTGCATCGGAAGTGGGAGGCAAGTAAACAACTCCGATTATTACCTCACAAGAGTTTATATACATATTTACAAAAATTTGCTCAACACAGGAACACATGACACCTCACAAGGACTAAAATCTTTCCTAGCTGCGATGAGCACACCACCACCAAAGGCTTTAGTACTATTGGCTTCACTTCTGTCACATCTGAAAACTTCGTATCGATCATCGAATACATCTAGGCTGGAGATATTAGATGACAACCATGTTTCCGTTAATTTAACCTCACTATAATTTTCACTCAAACAGGCACAGTAAAAGTCATTAAGTTTAGATCTTAAGCTTCTGACGTTTTGGTAGTAGACTGAGAACGTAGACTCCGCGTTGTTTTGGCTTGGCTTTGGATTTTTGCGTAAAAAGTAAACTTTTTGATTTTTGTTCCTTCAGGCCACAAGGAAGAATCTGAGAGAAGTGTTGATTGCAAGCTGTCATCAGCAGTGACCCTAAAAGATACACCTAAAGCGTTTTCGCGTTTAGGCATCTTCTCAATATCAAACTCCTGCTGAGGAAATTTTGACACAAAATAGGCATTAATATCCTCTTCATTTGTGCTGACACTTAAATTACCTACAAATATGTGGACTTTACGAGGAACTGCTTTACTTTTAGAATTATCAAACTTTCCAGTGCCTGTCATATAAGATCGTTTTTTCTGTAGAGTAGATGTTGCATTGTTTTTTGGGGTTCGAGCACGACTTTTGTTGACTACTTCAGTGAAATCATTTTGAAAAAGAATTTTATTTGAATGCGTCGAAGCTGTATTGAGAACATCAAAATTAAGATTCGTTGTGTTTATTGCAGGCGACGTTGTCACAGAAAAAACTATCGCCTTTTCTGCTGCTGGCCGCGCTTATCGTACTTTTTGTAGAAATGATTAATTTTTTCGACGTACTTTGAGTTTCAAAGTTTTTGTTTAGAGTAGCTTCATTACATGAAAACGGAGCGTTATGTTTGATGTGTAAGTTATATCAATCGCGATGATTGATTAGGGATTTTTGTTTTTAAAAGAAAAATTATTGACACTTAAAGAACAACTTTATTCTACGGCGATTACAGTAAGAGTGTTGAATTATCTCAAACTAATTCAAATCAAAGAAAAATGCTGATACTAATAAAATGGAATGCAGGTTCATGGCCTGGAAAACACCGGAAAACACGTGTAGTCTTGTTCTTAGATAGCGTTTCCCAGATGGATGGAATCTGCTGATATGACATGTACTGGGTTACTGACTGGGCGAGTAGTTAAAAAACTCACCAGCTCAATGTTAGATTCTCGGAGAACAGTTACTTCGTTACGCAACTTATCAATTTCAGAGTATAGGGCAGCAGTTTCTGACTTTATGATACTGCTCACAATTTTTGCAAAAGATGGGCTTCGTAAAAAAGCGATGGCGGCAGCTGATTCTCCGCCCATATCAGATGTAATTTCGGTTTCAGACGAAGCTGAAGAAACACCAATGTTGATACCACAACACTTCTTATACTTTTCGGCACAAATATTACAAATTGGGCCATTATTTGCTTTCTTTTTGCATTTACAAGCTCTTTCATCGAGAATTAACGTGGGCACGTCCGCACCGCCCGCCATTGAATTATTCAATATTTAATTCCCCCGACAGATTCTGATCAAGTACTAGGCCGAGAAAATTCGTATTATGATCTAATTTAGAAAAGAAACCAAAATTGTTCAACGATTAATTTTTTGATGTATCCGCCTTTTTATGTTGAAATGAAATACATTTAGTTTTATCAGCATTACCTCGAAGATTGCTACAATCAAACCAATTTTGTAATTGTGGAAGGAGTTGGTTTATTTTTGTGGTTGTATCAAGGATATTTTCCCCACAGAATAGTGAACTGGTGTCATTCGCATAATTTACGAGATTCATATGTACACTATAAACAATAATAAAGGGCCCAGAATACCACCCTGTAGCACCCCAAAATCACTTTCTTTTCAGACGACAAAAACTCACATCTACTGTTTTTTGCTCGTGATCAAGAATCATGGGTCTGCCAAATTTACGGATAGCTCTAATTAGCGAAACTAATTTTTTGCTCTCAGTCTAATGTTATTTGTAATAAGTCACACAAATGTTTATTGCTAGTAAATGTGTATCAAAAATTAAACAAAATAAACAAAAAATTAATTCGCCCAGCAAAAACCACGAGGAGGTTTAGAGCACTTCTTGCTAGGAAAAGGAAAGGATCGGGAAAGGTAAAACATGAGAAAAATATTTTGCTAGGAAAAGGAAAGGATCGGGAAAGGTAAAACATGAGAAAAATGTTTTGCTAAGGAACAAAAGAAATATACGTATTATTAGTAACAATAAAAAAGTTAAGTTTTCATTCTAATACGGAGTTGCAGAACATGAAAGTAAAGAAAAAACAATAATATGTAGTTAAGAAAAATAAAGATAAACTCTAAAAACAAAACAAAAATATATTATTCTGTTAATACTAACAAAATTTAAAAAATAATAGAATAAAGTAAAAAGGTAGAACACAATGCAGAGTAGTTTTGAACTGCAAATCAAAAATAAATTTTAGTAATACATACTTAAAAACATGCAAACTACAAACTAATGTGGTACCTGATGGTGTCTGATAATAAAGATTATTGATTCTTATAGATTAATTCGATTCTACGGGGTTTAGCTGCCGCAAAGTCATCTATAATTTTATTATAAAAATTGTCATCTTTCATTAATTCTTTTACCAATGTTC